CCCCCCCCCCCCCCCCTAAATCGATCACACCAGAACCATGTAACTTGTGTCTAAAAATGAGCTCTCTGCCTTCTATACACAAGTGCAAACATCAGCCAGCGAAGTTTGTGCTTTTTCTTTGTACATCAACCTGCCAAGAGCCTTTGTCAGCATTTCGCGCTGACAAATTATTTGGTGCATAAAACGGATAAACGCACTTGCCAGGAAATGTCACAAAGTTATTGCGATGTTCTTTGTGTTGTAATACAAGTAGTGTTTGGTTGATAACTACTTTTGTCGCTGACCTGCAGAAAAAAACCAACAACAAAGAAACAAAATATCAAATCAATCCCCCCCTCCCCAAATAACGAGATAAATAAAGATTGTCATTGTTATTGTCATTGTCATTGTCAACTTCCAAAGGCCCCAGCCATCCATGTTCCTGGTGCTGTTCCAGCGGGCGACGATTATTTTTTTGGTATTTGTGAGGTCATGGGGTGCTGTATTGTGATGTGCCCTGGGCTGAACCGACAGGATTTTTTTCCCCTATATGTGGATCCTGTCTTCTCTCATCCAACTGACCCCACGAGGGGAGGTCAGCGTTTTCGTTTTCCTCTGTTGTTGTGAAGAGTCTCATTGGGTACATGACAGGTGAAGAGGGTGGTGACCGGGTGTTTTTTTTGGTTTTTGTTCTTTACTTTATCACTAGTCACTCACACCACGACTCTTGGTCGCTTTTTTAATGTACAGTGTCATGTGAGTTACTGAGAACTCGTTGTGAGGTTTATCAGTGGAAGGTGACTGAGGTGGTTGAAAAAAGGGCAGTTGGGGTGGGGGGTGGGGAGGGGTGAGATACCGTAGATAAAGAAGTGTTCTTTTCTTTCTCACTTTGTTGTTTGTTTTTGTAAAGTGTTTTACGGCGCTCGCAACTGCATAGGTCATATGAGCGCGCGGGACACACCTACTATTTTCAGTTGGTAGGAAATTTTGAATTTTGCCCGGGTGGCGGCCGAAGCCAACTTTTATCGATTTTAGACCACCAAGGGATCTTTAACGTGCGCAACTTTCACACGGGCCCTCCGAGATTTTTCGCTCTTGTCCGAGAAGGCTAGGTGTAGATCTTTCCTACCAGAAGATCAGGGGTGTGGCAGAAAGACAGCAGTAAGGAGGAGCCAAGGAGTAGCAGTAGAAAGGCTGCAGAAAGAGTCAGGAGCCCAGAGGAGGGGGCAAAGGAGTCACTTTGTTGACTGTTTTCTAAAGAGGAAGTACTGAAATATTGAATTCACCAATCGGTATCAACTGCGGAATGAGAAATGTTGATTGACAGTTAGTGTAAAAAAAAAAAAAAAAAAAGCACACAAAACAACAAAATATAATGGGGTCGAGGGGGGGGGGGTCGGATGTATTTCAAATCTGCGTGAGCAGCTGTGAGGAGGTTTAGGTGTTTTTTTTTGGTATTTTAATGACCTCTTGCCTCTCATTCTGAAGTCAAATTAAACGAAGAGAACAGTCACCTCTTCCAGAAAAGGTTTTTTTTTGTCAGCGTAACCTTAAAAAAGCGTTCTTCCGAAATTTGAATTCTAATTGATTAAAAAAAGCTTGTGAGTTTCCCTTTGATTTTTTCCCCACAAGTTGGGTAACTCTGTTGGCAAAGGGTGCACTTTTTCGAAGAGGGCGCCACCGGATTTTGAGGACGCCTTTTTAATTGGCTCCAAGAGAGGAGTGAGCTATCTTGTTTTATACCATACTTGGAGCTGTTTTAGCATTGCACTTGCGGTAAAATATATCCTTTTATTTCACGTGTGAAATATAGGCTGGCTAAGCTGAAATCTCACACGTAAAATATAAAAATTTGCATAAATTACTCCGCGCACTAGATCTATATTCGCCTTCTACTTCTATCCCTCTGTGTAGGCTAAGCAAAGTAGCCTAGTCTAGATCTAGATCTAGTAAAAACTTAAAAACTTCGCTGCAAAGCGCGCTCACCATGGGCAACCAAACACTTCTCCCAGTCTTGCTGTCCCTTATAGTCGAGTATAGGTGCAAATATTTCTACGTTGCTCTTAATTTTGTTTCAAATAGAGTCAAATGATGGGCACAGTAATGTACCGGGATTACGCCAGAGTATGGTGCTGTTACGTTCGGTTCATTTCTCGAATAAAATAATCAAAGGGTTTACAGTTTACTGTAGATCTAGATCTAAATACATCTTAATTAGATCTATCAAACAAAATGATAGATCTACAACACAACTAAACAAATAGCACCACTTTGGCACTTAGAATCTAGATCTAGGTCACCCTATGTCTAGAGGCCTATATCAGCTTGCATAAATGAAATGATCATGAAAGATTTACAGAGGTTTGAAATTTTGTAGTCACTTTATCAAACAGTAAAAATGCGTTGCCTTTTGAATTTTCGTTCACATTAATTCTATCACTACATATACTAAATGATCAACTATATAATTGAAAGAAGATTAAACTTTAAAACAATATGTAATTGATAAATATGATATTAGTCAATATACGAGTATAACACTCTTGGATAATTACTTTTTAAAAAAATAATAAAAGTTACTTCCCTTGTTATTCTGATATTCTTACCTCCCCTTAAAAAATCCAGAATATCGGAAATCGATAGACAAAAACTAGATATCTAACTACATAGATCTATTTAAAATTAGCACATCAATATCCAAGTAGCTTGACAACTTGTTTTGTTAAAAAAGCCTTTTTTTTCATCTTTGACCAATTTAAAGCAATGCATTCGATCTAAGATCTAAAATCTAGAGACTAGATCTAGATCTAGAGAATAGAATCTAACTCTTTGCCTTTGGTTTGTTTTGGTTACGAAGTTTGAAATCAAAATCAAAGTCATCTCTATTCTAACAAAACATGCTAGATTTATTTTAATGCAGTTTCTTTCAACTTTTGAATCGTACACTTTCTGATTGCTTTGCTTATATTTACGTTATGATAGTTTTGTTTGCGGCTTGTTTCGCGGAGGGAGACACACGGATAGCACAACTTGTAAATTAGCGTGGCTAAAAGTAAAGGAAAACAATCCAGATTTTCCCCAATTCTCAATCTGACTTCGACGGGCATGAAAATGTTGTTTTCATGTGAGACTCTAGAATAGACCCTCTTGTCCAATTGACGGGCCCTTTGAACTTTGTTGGTACGGACGTATTTCGCCAGCTGATGTCAGTATGGTATAAAAAATTTATTACACTCGTTGTGGTGTTAGACCATGATTTATCCTACTTGTGGAATTGCAAGTTGTAATCACTCGTTGAAACTCATGATTACAACTTG